ACTTTATCACGAGGGGAACAGGAGAGGCTGCCGTAACTGACAGCGCCCCCTCCCAATCTGTGATGGAGGTCCTTTGTTCTAGGGCTGCAACTAATGATCATTTTCCTAATCGATTAGTTGGCTGATTGTTTTGTCAGGCCGTGTCAGGCCGAAACCAAAAATTACTTTTTTCCACTTTTTACGATTTATTTTAAAAATAATTGCATTGTAAGCACATGACGCTTGAATAGCTTCAGCCAGGAAATGACGGCCGCCAGTGGCAAGATTCTGCAGAGGGCATCTGAATGTAAATACAGCAGGGAGTGGGCGGGTGCAATAGCCAGCCTGCTATCGGCCATTCCAAATTGTAATAGCCAATAGCAGGCTGGCTATTGCCCCCGCACACTGCTTGCTGTGCCCTCCTCCCAGCGTGGAGCAGAGAGCTAGGGGATCCAACCAACTAATCGATAATGAGAATGGTTGACAACTATTCTCATTATCGATTAGTTGGTTGCAGCCGTACTATGTTCTTTTTCTTATAATGAGAATAACGGAGTACGAGTACAGATACTTTGAGGAAAAGCAGTATCAATACTCGGTCTAGAAAGAATGGTATTGGTGCATCCCTAGGTTTAACCCTTCCCTTCTCTATTCAAAACTAAATGGGAAAAAAAAAAAAAACAACCACCAACATTTGGGGTTACCGACATGCTTTAAAAATATGGTGTCTATTTCCATCACTGCGGGGGAAGCAGAAGAGCTCGTTCACACCAACAAGCAGGCCGTCACCTGCATGATAAAGTGTGCTACCGCATCGCACGTGCGAGATGTAGAGCTGATGCACTGCAATGTACATCTACACTACGCTGAAACGCGTCTGCGTTATTTCCTCCGTGGAGAACATAATATGTAACCGCTTGCCTTATACTGATGCTTGCTTTCAGTCCTCATTTCATGCTCAGCCTGTTTTGGAAGCATCATTATCTCATGCAGGTTTTAGTGTCACTCATTTATGGAAATGGTTAGGTGGCCCTGCAGGTCTCCCTGGAGCCACAGCACATGCTCCTGTCTGGGTCTTCCTCATTATGTGCACGCTTGGGGTACACATACGTATGGTGGCCATTTCCTTATACATGTGCTCGCTCAACTAGCATGAGTAAGCTGCACATGAGCAGTGTGGCCTGACACTTATGATTGTGCCTCCTCAGGGCATGCATGTGCAGTTTGGGCAGGGCTTTGAGATTGTGGTGCCATGCTTAGGATGTGCAGTGTGTCCGGTGACCTTATAGTTGTGCCTGCCAAGGTGCCATTCTAAGGACGTGCAGTTGCAGTGGGGCCCTTATGATTGCGTCTGCTCAGGGCATGCATGTGCAGTTTGGTCAGGACTTTACGACCGTGCGAATGCGCATTGTGGTTGGGTTCCTTATCAACGTGCTCCCTTGAATACTGTGCACATGTGCGGTGTGGCTGGGGTGTTAATAAATGAATGTGAACTCTGTGACCCCCTCCAGGGGCCGCACTGCTCTTCTCTGAACCGCCATGTTGTCTGATTCTCGGGTGAGTGTCAGACAAGTCTCTTTTGTCCTTGTTTCAGCCCAGAATATCTCTCTGTCCATGTCACAAAGACAGGACAGACGTCAGTGCAGGCCTTCACAACACCAGCACAGCCCAGACATACAGGAACATCACTGTTTCCTAGAAAGTGAGTAAAGATGGCTGATGACAGGTTCTCTTTCATAACATGAGCGTCCACCTGTCAGTGTCACCTCTCCCCCTGTCTGCATATGACAGGCAAGAGGGGTGGGGGGCTGCACGGTCGCCACGGAAACTCAGCCGGTAACAATTACGGGCATCACGGAGGTCACTCACCGAGCAGCCGGGACACACCACTCAGCAGCGACATCTTCCACTTCCCGACGTCACTTCCGTTTCCGCGCACCTCAGCTTCCGGCGCCAACTTTGAATGCAAGCAAGCATGGGATCCTCGTCCGACTCGAGTGACAGCGAGGACCTGCCCCGCCTACCCTTCCTGGCCTCCACCGCCCGGCGCCCAGTTGCCGTGGCGCGGCCGAGCAGCAACAGCGAGAGCGAGCAGGAGGACGAGGATCTTCCTCTTTTCCGGCGATTGGCTGCTCCGCCGTCACGTGGCGCCCCTGGTCCGCGAGAGCCCTCAGCCCGCCCAGTCGAGTCACGTGAACCCGCATGGGCGAGCAAGATCTGCGCGTCACGTGACCCTGCCAGAGCTCCTCAGCCGAAGAGCGCCGCCCCACGTGACCCCGCCAGAGCTCCTCAGCCCAAGAAAGCCAAGAAGAGCCCAGAGAGCCTGACGGTGCACATAGACACTGGTACAGCAGCAATGCACGCCTACGGGGTGCCATGGGTTACTCATTATAGTTATTAGGGCTTGCAGAGCTTTGCTGCACTAATGGGAATGAGGCAAATCCCAACTTGAAGATAAATCATTTCCATGCACCTACATACATATTCCACATTTGGGGAATTTACCAAAACTAGGGCAGTTGCCCATAGCAACCAATCAGCTTCTACTTTCAGCTTGTTCAGTTCAGCCAGGGGTGAAACTACAAATCCCATGATGCATCTGTCCCTGGGAGTCATGGCTGTGAGAATCTTGCAATGCCTCATGGGACTTGTGGTTCCACAACAGCTGGAGGGAAGGAGTTTACTCACCCCTGTGTTAAGCTTTGAAAGTGAAAGCTAGAGGCTGATTGGTTGAAGAAATGCGTTTAGACAGGAAGTCGTTCCTGGCAGGATCACCAGGTGAAAAAAAGAAACCGAATGCAGGGACTGGAAAGCTAAAATATATGACATTGTTGT